TGATGTTTAATAACTTAATGAACTACTCCAACTACCATTAAAAAAGGTGCTTTACACATTTTCAACATTTTTTAAATAGTTGTTGACTACATGAGTAATTGATTAATCAATTAATAGTCACTATTAATGCCAACTTTTCACCTCATTGTCCTCTCGCACATCACATCACATTCTCCTTTGGAGCAGCAATGGCCCGTAACTAATATGACAACATGAAAGATCGTTTTGCAGACGTATTTTCATCATGACTGAAATCTGTTTTATGCCGTTCCTAATTGTTTACCCTTGTACAAGATGATCCCAGAAAGTCAGCTGTAACGCAATGTTCAAATCTCTGTGACCGAGCTGTTTTAATTATTCATTAGTGGTAACAGTCGCCTAAGGTTATTTGAATTAGCGGCATGAATATTCATGAGCAGCAATGAATGTGCATTTGTATTTAATGCTCAATCTGTTAATACTCCTCTTCATTACTCCACTCTGAAGCCTGCATAATAAGCTGCACAAAACCAAGCTTTACTTTTTTAAAGCACAATTCCGAAAGCCTATTCGTTTCGGTCCAAACGAAACGGGAGCGCCCTACCAATTATCTTGCTGTCATTTCTTTTGACGGATACAAGACACATTGTTCACCCCTGTTATTGTGGAGTGTGCCACTGAAGGGCATCTGTCTTTTTGTGAAATGAAAAGCCAGAAACAGAAAACATTTCTACTGTTACAACGAGGTGATTTATCAGGGAACGTCAGCGAGACGTCATTTCTCTCTCAGTGGAAGGCAGTGGAGCAGGCGGGTCGTATGAGATATGTCTAAAACCTACATTGCACCAAAAGATTGCGGTTTCAATTTAATAAAAAAAAAAAAAAATCAAACAAACAAGAAATCCAGCTGCACTGTGCATGAGAAGTCCAGTCAAACAGCCCCCCCCCCCTTTCATTTATTCTAAATGAAGTATATTCATTATATAGTATATTATCCTTACATGATGGGATCGTAGTCCACTGGATTACCTATGAATGTTTTCAATGCATTTTTAGTTTTTATATGTTATATCAATATATTTGTCTGGGTATCACGAGCCTACACTCAACATTGGATCTTTTTATTGCCCAGATTAGTCTCCTATCTAACTATCCATGCACTGCTAAACACAGTCGTCAATATAGGTTTTATGTTGCTGCATTAAAATGGTTATGGCCTTTTTTCCCTCTCTCCATGTCCTAAGTGTTAAGTCCTGCAAAATACATTTCCTGTCACAGTTTAAATGAAGTCATATGACCTCGTAGCAACCAGTGACTCTGACAAAGAACAATTCTGTAGTGCTAAATATCAAGGCCACAACCACTCTTTTAGTGGTTTGATTCAGTTTTGAATCTAATATAGTTGCAAAAGTCATTTCCAGCAGCAGTAGAATTCAGAAAACAATCGGAATGTATAACACCAGCTGAGCAGAAAAAAGAATTTAGCAACTAGCCAAAGATCCAAAAGGCTGAGTTGAAATTAAACTTGATCTAAAAGAAGATACACCGCATATTTCCATCGGGTGGCCACGAGTCTAAAGGTATTGTCATGTCGCTCCTATAACATCGTTACAAATCAATCACTTGTCACAGGAGTGTGTCTTTTATTTTGCTGTGAAGTTAAACAACAAAAACTCAAACAATCAACTTTAAAAAAGCTTTAAAAATGCTTCATCTTCATCTGACAGTTTTTCCATGCCACCAAAACTAGTCTGTCACACCTTCACAACGTTGACCGCCTAAAAATATTAAAATACAGATAAATATGTTTACCCATCTGACCGACCGTGTGAGGTAAACTTGTAAAAACTGGTAGCAGCATTTTTGACAGCAGGGGCTTTTCATCCTCCGTTTCCAGCCTCATTACACTGGTAATGAGGCTGCGGCTGCTGCTCTGTTTCAATATTTAAACGTGCTGGTGCCCCTCAAGGCTCCGTGTTGGGGCTGTTCTGCAAACTCCTCCGCGACCCCCTCATTACCGTCTGCTGGTGAGTGTCCCTCCTCCTTTTATTTCTTTCTACACGCTAGATCCTGCTTGTTTCTCCCTCCGGCTGTAGCCTCAGTCGGGCCTGAGCGACCGGGGGGGGCGCTTGTTGAACATGGGACCCCTGGTGCCACCTTTTTCCCCCCAGCGCCAGGGTGGCAGCATACGCTGGCAGCTGAGTGTGAGAAGGGGGAGTCTCTCCCTCTGCATAGAGCACTCACACGGAGATGCGTTATACATTTCGCAGAATCCAGTCATCCAATACGTGTCCCTTTCATCCTTGAGCTGACGGAGTAGGTCAGTGTCGCAGGGAGGAGTTAAGAGAATGTAAAAGCATTTCTGATCGTCAGCTCTTTCTGTTATAACGGCAATGATCTTTCTGCTCGTTGGAGTTCTTTTAGATGGCGCAATTTTAATACGGAGGAATGGTTCACAAATGGCTGTTTGCATCTGCAACAGAAAGGTGCTGGTTCGGCCAGCTGATAAATATCAAATGTTCAAGCTTTGATATTTACCTAATAATGCTTTTTTTTGCATCGGCTAACTAATATTTCTGCTGTCTGTGAGGTCCTAATTAGATGGGAAAGAGGAAGTTGTCAGACATAATGAGTTTAGCTAAGAAAAAGCATGGCTCTTGTCCAGACATGATGTCCAGTGATGTTCTGCCTGCCAGAAATCATTAGATTACTTACTATACAGCGATCTGTAAATGAGCAGAAACTACAGACTTAAAAACTCATTGAATGGGACGAACTGATGAAAAACTGTGTGAGTACAGTTTGCAGAATGAAGATGATAGTCATCCCACTGCTCTCACTGCTGTAAGGATTTAACAGTGTTTGCTGTAGGATCGATGTGCTGGAAAAGAGAATCCCAAAGCAGGGAGAGGTTTACAGAGCGTTAGCCCCGGGCTAAATGTTGTACAAAAACCAGCAACAACATCCCTGGAGATGAAGTGTATCTGTTGCTCCAGCTGAGCTTGTACTTGTAGGAGGTTTACATGTGCTCTGAAGGATGGCTTTTATTGAAGAGGAGTATATCCTTAAGGTAACGCTGTTGACTTTTCATTTGCTTCTTCAGAAACGGTGAAAGGAGACAGTTGAGCGATTAGCATTTTAGTTTTCCAGCTATCTCCTCCAATTTTGAGGGAAGGCTTGTGCTAATACAACACAGCGGAGGTTTACTTCCAACCTCACCGTCACACAAACCTTTTTCTATCTTACCCTCATTATTCTTTAAGCATTTGGCAGGCATTAATTTAATTTTCCTTAATGTGACTTTATCAGCATGAAATTAAACTTGATTGACTTTGTTGGGGCAACATCAAATGAAACATCCCTAATGGAACTAAAATGAAAATAACGTCACCTTCGATTGCTTTAAAATATTTCTCAATATCCAGCCTACTTTTCTATTCCGCAGCTTCAGAATAAGCTCCTCTTGTCCCAGGAGATAATAAATGAATTGAATCCCCCCTCACCCCAAACCCCCACCATCTTCCTTATCGGTCATCTATTTTTCCAGAGTAAGCTATTACTTGCCGGGGTTGCTAGGCAACAAGAAATATTAATAGCAGCTATTATTAGCCAGGCTCTGCTAGAGTAGTACTAAAATGTGGAAGTGGGAAACATGAATGTGTTACATAAATCTCTGGCCCTTTCCCACTGTGTGCAAGTCTCTGTTTGTGCGGTGATTTATTGCAATGACGGTTCATTTATGAGAAAAGGGGGTGTGAAATAAGAAAATGGAACATTACCCTGAAGGCTATTTGAAAATAAATAATTGCAAAGGTGAAACAAAAGCTGTTTAAGAAGCAGGCCCTCCTTCTCCGTTTCCTTCGAGAACGCTGCTGGATAAAAAGGACTGCTTTGTTACATATACTGGTGCCTTGACATCACATTAGTATAAACTTTAGACATGAATACCTCACTTATGGATCCAGTTTGTATATTACAGTCCAATAAACACTCATCCAAATGGTTGTGTAGAAGTTTCAAAACCATCCATCCATATTAAAAAACAGATTGACTGAAAATGTTCCAGTCAACAAGATATTTTGTCTACACCAAGCATATTTAGCACAGTGGCAAATGGATTGTGACCTAATCCCGAAGTCTGGCTTTAATGGAGGCCTTAGCTACCACCCATGGAACAAAAAAATGAAGCTTGCAATTTATGCAGTTTGATTCTGAAAATCACATAAGACCTGATTAACGGAGGATAAATGCCATGGATGCTCACATTAAAGCATAAATATTCATGATGGAGGGCAGAGAGAAAAAAAAGTAATATTTATGTCAGATGAAAGTATATAATGTTGAATAATTCACCACACAGGCTATCTATAATTCATCTGGTTCGATCCTATGATTAAAGCTTTTGAATGTGTTCGCCAGGGGTGTTTACAAGTTCAGTCTGAAGCGAGTTTAACGCAAGAAAAACTCCCTTTACTAGAGGGGGATTGTGGGTCCTCAGCATCCTTTTGAAAAGAAAAATCCGCTGACAAGGGATACCCCCCCCCCCCTTCTCCTCGAGATTTACTGTTCAAAACATGGCCGCCCCTCCCTCCATCCCCGTTACTCTTTAGCTGTGCCGATCATAACGAGTGAAAAAGTGCAGCGCCGAGTTTCTGGTCCCCTTTCCTGGCTCACTTTGAGGCATTGAAATGTTGGAGTTGATGAACTGAATGGATTTTAACAAGCTGTGTTGCAAACGTTTTCTGGGCAAGTTTATACGACATCGTCCCACCTGGTTTGGTCCGTGACTGGTGTAATTACAGCTCCAAGAAGATAATGCTTTTCAAAGGAAAATAAATGATTTTTTCGAAAGCAGCACACAGAAAGAAACTTCATTTTAATGTTTCATTGCCGCCTTGCCGACTGTCTATAACTTCAATGGAGTTTCATAAAATCAATGTAATATGACCACGCAGACCAACAGCACCACCACGGCCCGCGACAGGCACGATCACAAAGGGCACAATGAAAGGTGGACTCACTGAGTGCATGGGCCCGGAGAGGAGGTGGGTGTCCTGACCCAGCATGTTGGACATCATGAGGGCGGGCAGCTCGGGGTAGGAGTAGCCGTTGAGCAGGCTGTTGTGAGGCAGGGAGTGGAAAGGGTAACCTGATTCGTGCTCCATGAGGTGCAGCAGGGAAGGGTCTGCGTGGTTGGGCGGGGTGATGGGGGGGATCTCGTAGTCTTCGTCCCCCGCTCCTCCGCCACTGCCGCCTCTACCATGACTGGAGTAGCTCTGGAAAAGCAGAGAGAGGGTTTTATTTTTTATCACAGCAGCCTTTTCAGGGTTAGAGGAAGCTAATTTGTATATTATATTATATATAGAGGACGGTAATTTGCACATCTTTGTGACGTGGACGGAAGAAAATCCACATGAACGGATCGTGACAGCATAAATATGTTGTACTTGTGTCTCATCAGTGCAACATTTAGTTCCAGCATAAATAAAACAGTGGGCTTATTTCACCGCTTAAATCTTAAGGAAAACATGCCCACCAGAGAACAGTACTGCTTCACAGCATTTTCATGGTCAACTGAAGTTCAATAACAACACAGGAGAGGAACTGCCACAAAAGATGTTCCAGAGTAATTAAAAAGCATCTCGATCGCCTTTTAAAATGCACCTGTTGCACTTTGTTGTTCACATTTGTGTTTGCAGCAGACACTGAGCTGCAGCAGTCAATTCCGAATGTTTTGCTGAAAATAAAATTAATTACAAATGCAAATTGTTACGCTTACAAAAGTGTAAATAATTAATTGAACACAAACATACACAGCAAATGAATTAGAATTAGACAACAACAGAACCATTCGCTTTAGAAATCTTGACAGCTTTAAAGTGACAAACTGTCAGCCTGCGTGCCTTTAAAATACAGTTAATCAAATTCATTATGCGGAAAAACACCAAAGACACTGAGTGGCTTTTTATTTATAATCTCATTATTATGCTGGCAGTCATATTTTTTAGAATCAAAGTAGACCTTGCATCTTTCACAACCAAATGTGTCCAGCAAGTCAAAATGACCCCGAGCAGGTAAAGCAGCCCACATTTTATGGTACTAATAAGGTGATACATGACGGAGCCTGTGCTTGTCTTTTCCAGGGCCTGTCTTGACATAATATTGCGTTGAGAAATATGGTTTTGTGTTCTCAAAAAGCATACTGAGGGTATTCACCGGGGAATGAAAAGCAATTTTGTCAGAGGCAATCTGATGCCAACTCCCCTTTATAATGACTGAAGAAAATTAATCATCACAAATAATATTCCAGTGTCAGCCATTCAAGAGCTTTTTAATAGAATTTTTATTATTCATGTCTCGTGGTACACATCAACTAGCCCGTTCTGCAACATTTCAGAAATCAATTCAATATCATCTTCGTGTCGGCTGTCATCTCGCCTGCCAGTGCAGCAATTCATCTTGCAAACAAATACTTTTAGCAAACAAATGGCAAGAAACGTCGAGGAACAGCTACAATTTCCCAACGAGCAGAACTGGTGTTTGAAGATAAGATAAAAGTCTCATAATGTGCACTATCATTAGGGACAAAATGCTAATACTAAAACAGAGAAGTTGACTATCAGGGGGAGATGTGCTGTTTTCTCTTCCCATAACCCTCATTCTTGGTGCTTGCTCAGAAATATTATCACTGATAATTCATTTTCCCATAGTGAAGGTTCTGCAAATGTGTTTGTTATTATTGTTAACAAGCATTTGCTAGAGGTCTAAATCTCACCGGTTTGTGGGTCTGAAGAAAATATCTGCTGGTTCGAGCTTCTTTGTCATCTATAATAAATTGAATATCTGTTTTCTTAACGCAAATAATATTTAATGACTTCACCATGGACTCAGTGATATTTTATAGGGTAAGTGGTTAATCAATTTATTAAGGAAATAATTCAAGGATTAATGGACAATGACCTTTTGGTTAAGGTTTAAGGTTTGAGGACGATCATTGTCATAGTTTACTCTGTAAAGCTATGAAACCCAACTGGGGGCTCAAGCCTTTGTAATGGCTATGAAGATGAAATGAAATAGAAGGATAGCGTTAACACGTTGACGTATGTACCAAGATTTAAATGCTGTCAGAGGTTATTTTACGACCGTGTCTTTCATTGCTTTGGTGAATTCTTATTTCCTTTACAGCCTCTTTTGATGCCCTTGGAGATTAGACACAGGACAAGGACATCACAAGTTTAATATTTTCAAAAATAGATAAATAATTCATAAATATACTGTCTTTCAGGACGTGTAGGAGAGTGGATAAAAGAGAGAGGGGTCAGAAAGAGATGCCAAATGTTGATTCAGCCTTCTCTCTCCGACCTTCCCCTTCTCACTTCTAGAGGTGAAATTTAAGCAAATCTGTCATTTTCCTGGACAAGGACGTTCCTTTGGACCTTTGAAGAATCTACAAATCAATTCTTCCCTTATTTTCTTCCTGTAACTTCAACAAAACAGCGCCAAGCTTCTTCTGAACATTTGTTGTGATAAACATCAGAGCAACATATTGCTTCATCTTAGTTTATAGATGCGAGATGGTGCTTTGTGGCATATTGACAACATACATAAAGCAGACCCTGTTCCTCCTGGGAAAAAAAAGATAATTCGCACCGGTGTTGAGTTTTATAGTAAATCCAGACGGATTGAAAATATACAACTTCTAACGTTTGATTCAAAAACACATTATAAAATGGTTCTATGAAGAATCTGATGCAAACTTTTACTCAAACTGTCTGTTTGCTTTGAACCTACAATCACTTACATTCATATCGTCAAATGCTTCTTTAATGCACCTTCTTGTAGTAACTGGTAAGGTTAATAATGGCAAGGTAAACTCATGTCTGACTAAGTTCACTATCAAGTGAGCAGTGGGTCATTGTGCCTTAGACTTCTGTACAATCTAACCTAAAGGTTTGCATTCTCACCTTGCTGCAGTGAAGACCGCACCATAGAAAAGTATTTCATGTCTGATTGAGAGACATTAAATACTTGATGTTGCTATAGAGACGGTCTTTGCCGTGTTTTGCAAATGTGCACGTTGATGACGTTTCAATAATGTGGTGGCAAAGAAGCCCCCCCCCCCCCTCCTCGCCCCAAGGGTTAAACGTATTTCCAGTAGTGGAGAATATGTCTGACACGGACAATGTCCTATTGTGCGCTACATGTGTGAAGGGGAAACTCCGGACATTCTCCAAAGGTCATAACAGAAAAACAGCGCTATGGTTTCTAGTTGCCCCCCTCGCATGTAAGCCTGTTGGTCACCATCTTTGGCTTGGTTTGCAAACGCAGAACCCGACAGGTGAACATCCTCAAGGTTTGGGTACCTGCCTTGTTAGTAACAGCTGAAATCTCCCCTTGACGTGGAAGCTTTTAGGCTGACAGTCTCTTTAACTCAACAGCTCCATCATGCTATCTTAAGTGATTAAAACATCTTAAGTGTAAACACATCAATCAGCTGAGCTTAAAGTAAATAGTCCAAAGACAAGAGCTGTCTTTCTTTCGTAGGCTTTGTTATTACGGGGTTGGTGACTGAAACAGTCAGACTGAAACAGTCTTTCCTGTAATACTTGAAAAAGAACTAATCAGAAAATAAAAACTGTCACGAAAGTGTTAACTTTGAATGCGCATACAGTGTCCTATGGAAAGTCATCCAGCCATATGCTACTTTGCAGGGAAAAAATGACAGCAGCATGATTTTGGTGACAAACAACAGCTGGCCGTGCATACATAAAGGTCTTCACGTCCACTCTGTGTATTTCAGATAGACGGATGGCAACAGTAAATCTTTAAAACGTCTTATGGGGAATTTCACGATTCACCTTCAAATATCAACCTTCAACGGAACCGAGAAAGGCTAGAAACCAGACACGTCTTCGGCGGTTGCTGAACGTTGCTGACATGCGCTGCACAAGTGACCATTACAATCACGGTCTGCGGGGTCCACAAAGGCTATCTGACCTGGCGCTGAAAGGGCAAAGAACTGCATTCGGGTGATGTATCGAGACAAGCAGACAGGGTAGTACAATAGAAGGAGAAAGGAATAGCAGACCCAACGGGCTGACTGACAGCAAGACAGAACTGGGATAAGTGAAGTGTGCGAGGAGGAGGGTTCGGGGGCGTTTTACTGCAACTAATAGTTGCTCGGGGTCATTCGCAGCATCCGTTACCAAAGGTGGGCTTCCACCAATAGCATCGGAAGGAACTAACCCTCCTCTGTGCTCCCCCATGCACTGGTGATTCTTTCAAATGTCACATCAAAATGGATCTCATTTAGGTTGGTAAAGAGGACCCGACTCTCCGTTGCAGATGTGGGTGGACCTTCGCCGGATTGCACCCGAACTCTTAAAACACATCTGCAGAGGAGGAGTTTTAAAGAGCCGTGGAAAAAGGGCCGAGTGCTGCATATTTGAGTGTGTTCAATTTAAAAAATAGAACATTTTACATAATCATCAAAGAAAACATATTTCTGATCTTTTCACTGGAAACCAAAACGAATAGAAAATTCTTCAGTGTTTGAATCAAATTAAACAAAAATTCAGAAAAGGGAGCAATACTGTGGTCTCATACATTTTCTATTCTTATTCATTAGAGAGAGTCATATAAATAAATAAAATACGTTGTCTGGTAGTCACTCATCCCCCCTCAAGGGAACATGGAAGCCCCAGTAATCACATATGGCACAATAGCTCGCCCATAATCCCCTTTATTTTTATTTTCATGATGTCACTCTCTTTAAGCCCCTTGCTTTATGAGTCGCAAACGCAGTGGCGAGGGGAGGAGAGGAGGAGCAGAGAGGAGAGGAAAAAGCAAGGGAGGGGTAAAAACAAATGATGTGGATCCCTCATTGTTCTTTCTCTATGCCCTCATTCCAGTCAGGGTAATAAGAGAACATTGTGATTTACTGTCAGTGAAGCGCAAGAGTGCATCAGAGAGAATCCACTGCGGCAGGGGCCATTAAAATAGATTTAACTTCCCACAGTATTAGGCCAGATGTCTACACTTCTATTATATTTCAATCAGCCATGACCTTGGTCTCCATATGATGAGAAAGATCACTGAGATGGAGGGAAAGGGAGAGTGAAAATAAACGGAGAAAACCAATAGAAATATCAAACTACTTAGTCCCACTAAATCCATCTGCTCCACTGTGCAGCAAACACAGAGAGAGGCTGGGACAGAAATAGAGCCAAGGTTTCAAGTTCTCTTAAAAGAGTGTATGAATCATTGAGTGCACTCT